TAACTACTGAGTTTATGTGTGTCAAGAAACTGCCGATATGTTCCGATTCCAACACTGTAAATGTGTCATCCACATATCGCCACCATATCTTAGGTGCCGGATTATATGTTCGTAAAGCCATATCTTCCCAACTATCCAGAAATATATCTGCTACTACAAAGGTAACTCAACAGTAGTTATGGACAAATCGGATTATCTTAAAAAAATGGATGAACATATCCAAACAGGGCCATATGAAGAGATTAAGAAACCTATAGATACTGTCATGAATAAAATTAAGAAATCTACAACAGATCTGATACGCCGACTGAAGCCATCTCTAGGTAAGTCCGAATGGTTTACTTTAATGCCAAAAACTAATAATCCTAGCAGAATTTACGGTACTATTAAGGTTCATAAAGCAGGTTATCCCATTAGGCCGATAGTTGACTTCCGGAACACACCAACATATGAGATATCAAAGTATTTAGCATCAGTATTACGTCCTGTTAGAGACCGTTCCAACTCTAGACTAGTAAATTCTTACGAGTTGAAACAAAAACTTAATGACCTGCACATAGAAGAGAATGAAAAAATGGTTAGTTTTGACGTAACAAGTCTTTATACTAAAATACCAATCAATATGGCACTGGAGGCAGTCAGAAATCAACTAGATACTGACTCACAACTTACTCAAAGAACCAAGGCATCGGTTGGTGAAATCATGTTAGGAGTGCAGTTATGCTTAACCTCGACAGTCTTCAAGTTTCAGGGAAAGATATATAGACAAACAGAAGGAGTAGCAATGGGATCACCAATATCCCCTATAGTAGCAGATATATTTATGGATAGTTGGGAAGATATGGCTTTACGAACATATAATCCGACACCTAAGATATGGTGGCGATATGTAGATGACACATTTACAGTGTTGAAATCGGAACATATCGACAGTTTCTTGACACACATAAACTCAGTAGTTAACGCAATCCAATTCACTTACGAAGTAGAAAATGAACAAGGAGAATTACCTATGTTGGATTGCAGAATAAAACGAAGGATAGATGGTGGTTTAGATACTACCGTCTACAGAAAACCAACACATTCTAACAGATATCTAGACTTCAAGTCATCTCATCCAGTGTCAGTTAAAGCGGGTTTAGTCAAATGTCTAAATAACAGAGCTGAGAAACTCACTAGTCATTGTAAGGACTTAAATAAGGAATTGAAACACATAAAAGAAGCGTTAATAATTAATAATTATCCCCATCATTTTATTAAGAAATTCACACGGACACATAAGAAGCAAAATAATAACACTAATACAAATACAAATAATAGTGACAACATAAGTAGAAAGGAAATCAACACCTCTATTGTGATACCATACAAGGAAGGAACATCAGAAACCATACGTAGGATTCTCAACAAGGTTGGAATTAGGGTGGCATTTAAACCAACAAACTCACTTAGAGGTAAGCTTTGTCGGCTAAAAGATCCGATAGAACCAATTAAGCAAAATAATATAATCTACCAAATTCCATGTAATGACTGTGAGGTCAAATACATAGGTCAAACTAGCCGGTCGGGGTCAGTTAGATTAACAGAACATAGGAATTTAGCTAAACATAGAACGGAGACCCCAATAAGATCAATAACCTAGAAAAACACTCAGCCATTGCATTACATTCATTAACACACAACCACACAATAGGATGGGACAAAACCACTGTACTTAAGTCTAATATAGCTAGGTGGAGAGAGAGATTAATTACTGAATCTTTGTTCATCGAATCCACACCCAACACATGTAACACCTATACCAGAGATATGGAAAACTTTACTACCAATCAAAAAAAAACAAAGAGAGATCAGGTGACAGGACTATAAAATCAGATGTCGAAAGAAGTGTGATTACATTGATATGATTATGAGCAATAATTTATGCTCGAAACGTAATCAAGTAAATAATACTGTATCACTGTGCGCTATATATCAAATAAGCAAACCTTATATGGAATTTCTCCTTTGTTCTCGTGCTTAATATTTCTCTTGGCTGCATTCTCTTATCTTTATCCATCACCTCACTACCTTTCTATTTCATGTACTGATATAAGGCGTGCCAACTCGGACCGTTACACAGTGATGCCTGGTCCTATGTTGATATTGATTAATTGACTGATTAAGTCACTGAGTTGAGCTAAATAGTCAAGGATTTTATGTTGAAAATTTATTGTAATCCAGAGAGAAAAAGTAAATAAGTAACTCAGAGGAATTTTTTTGAGTCAAATCCTTCTCACACTGCAGTGTCAATAGACAAAATTACAGTTTATCTGTACATTATCGTTGTGATTAGAAGATAGACAGGTATGCAGATAGACAGACAGACAGACAGACAGGTAGATAGATGGATGGTTAGATAGGTAGATAGACTAACAGAGAGAAAGATGGACGAAGTTACCTTATCACCTCGCATATAGGTGCATCGCTTCGATTTGTCACACTTCACTGGAGTATGTAAAGAACAAGTAGATAGAAAAAGATTGATGTCGAAGTAGACAAAAGTGAATGATAAGCGAAGGGATTCTAAAAATTAACGTTTTTAAGAACATTGAAAGTGTAGCGGATGTCAAACATCTGCATGATTGTGACCGATTTTCAGCTATTTCACCCAGAGTCCTCAACCACCAATCAATTCAGGTTTCCTAGATCAATGATTATTTATTCAGATGCTCCGGTAAAATCGTATTCAGCGTCTACCTTGAAATGGTATCTTTGATTAAGTAAATATCTGTTTGCCTTAGCAAGGAAGAAAGAAGATACTTCAATATCCTGTTTAACAGTATTTCGGGAACTCAAAGTAGCTTTTGAATCCAGGATGCGTGTTTCCTCCTGTTAGGGACTCAGCCATCAACTGAATGTTGTTCACACTGAGACTGGAAACCAGTGGCCATCGTTTCAACTGTCAAAGCGTTATCCACTTAGTCACTGGAACACGATAGTCACCTCTTGTGCAACAGATATCAGTTATTGTATATTACTTATAATTTCCATTTGCTAACAAAATCAAATTGCTCCATCTTTATTGACAGATGCCTCGATACTGCTGAATATTCAGGTCAAGCAATTTGGCCTTGTATAGCAACGGGATATTATCTCACTGTTGCTTAAGATATCCATCAAGTGTGGATGATATTACAACTTACTTTAAACTGGAGAGGTTAGGATAGTTTATATACTTAAGTTCAAACTCTGTGCTCATAAACATTTTGTTCCAGTCACTAGTTTACTGACTTTTACAGCTACTTTAACCTTTGAAATACTTTTCTTCTTATTTCTATTAACTAATTCTCTTCTCTACACAAATGTTATATCCCTGTAAACCTCACTACTGGATTTTCCCACTTCTTAGGGTACATTCAACTCATTTCATCTTATGACATCTTTCAGCTTAGTAGGTTAGAAGTATTTTAATTTTAATAAATCTTCATATTGAATTAGTTTTTATCAGGAATTGAATTCATCTAGATGATCACTAGAAAACCTGGGAACAAGAAACAGTTATTTAGTCCTAGTCTAGGAATCTTCAGAAATGAGCACTTCGACACACACAACGTAGAGTCAAGTCTTCATATGTAGACCAATAGTTCGTATCTTGTGATGAACCAGATTTTCATTCCTGTTTTCAAAGCAACACTATCTCAGATGAACTCAACGATAACTTAGATTGATCAGGTCAAAACTACAACAGGTTAGACGAGATGCTCAAATAGGCGATGAAGATTGAGTAGATTTCACAGTAGTAAAATTCATCAGTGCATCCATGTAGAAAGTTCCTGAGTGGGGTGGAACGTTTGTCTAGTTCTCCATAGTGTTTAATAGTTCCCTATCCGAAATCAATGTGTAATTATGTTCATCAAACCCAAAAGTATACTCAGAAATAAAAATCATATTATCCGTAATAATACTCATAATTAAGGATTATTGTTATAAAAGACTACTGAATAACTAACTAACTAACTAACTAACTAACTAACTAACTAACTAACTAACTAACTAACTAACTAACTAACTAACTAACTAACTAACTAACTAACTAACTAACTAACTAACTAACTAACTAACTAACTAACTAACTAACTAACTAACTAACTAACTAACTAACTAACTAACTAACTAACTAACTAACTAACTAACTAACTAACTAACTAACTAACTAACTAACTAACTAACTAACTAACTAACTAACTAACTAACTAACTAACTAACTAACTAACTAACTAACTAACTAACTAACTAACTAACTAACTAACTAACTAACTAACTAACTAACTAACTAACTAACTAACTAACTAACTAACTAACTAACTAACTAACTAACTAACTAACTAACTAACTAACTAACTAACTAACTAACTAACTAACTAACTAACTAACTAACTAACTAACTAACTAACTAACTAACTAACTAACTAACTAACTAACTAACTAACTAACTAACTAACTAACTAACTAACTAACTAACTAACTAACTAACTAACTAACTAACTAACTAACTAACTAACTAACTAACTAACTAACTAACTAACTAACTAACTAACTAACTAACTAACTAACTAACTAACTAACTAACTAACTAACTAACTAACTAACTAACTAACTAACTAACTAACTAACTAACTAACTAACTAACTAACTAACTAACTAACTAACTAACTAACTAACTAACTAACTAACTAACTAACTAACTAACTAACTAACTAACTAACTAACTAACTAACTAACTAACTAACTAACTAACTAACTAACTAACTAACTAACTAACTAACTAACTAACTAACTAACTAACTAACTAACTAACTAACTAACTAACTAACTAACTAACTAACTAACTAACTAACTAACTAACTAACTAACTAACTAACTAACTAACTAACTAACTAACTAACTAACTAACTAACTAACTAACTAACTAACTAACTAACTAACTAACTAACTAACTAACTAACTAACTAACTAACTAACCAATGTCCGTGCATGTGCCGTAGCCAAATTCAGCACCACATAACCAATTCCCGATGCTGAACGAAGATATTGATGATCATATTTTCCATTATGTGACATAAATGGACGATCAATATCATCTTGAACCACTTGACTATGCATTAATATTTGAGGATTTTTCAAAACATTCGGTCTAACATGAATACACGAGTTAATTCTAGTTGAACAATCAACACCAGTATAATAACTACTGCACAAACAATGCGGCCATACTGATATATCCACATGTGAAGTTAACTTTAATACATCCGTTTTGTTGTTATTGTTGTTGTTGTAGTCATTGCCGCCGTCAATTAGTCTTAAACGATAATAACATTTGTATGTACCGCGCTTACAATACTGTTTCATATCATTATTACATTCAATATTCCATGTTTTATGCAAAGCACCTTGTTTATTTTTCATGATAGCTGGGATTAGTAAACAGCCAGTTAGGGAGTCAACAGTTTGCCATTCATAAGCACTAGATATACACTGACATCTAAGAGATAACAGTAAGAAGGAGAATAGTAAAATTACTGCTACTACTACTACTACTACTACTAATACTAATATGATTCACAATTAAAATAGTGGTAATGGAGAGCTGACACTTGGCCAATCACTTTCATTTTCCACGCATTGATGGTTACTCAGTTCCTCAGTAGACATAAGATAAGTGGCGAGAAAACAGAAGATGTATTGTAACGTCCAAAAATATATACAAAATCATCCATCCAGATCAACATAAGACCAGGTATTACTGCGTAACGGTCCGAGCTGCCACCACACCTCATTTCACTACATCAAGTAGAAAGGCAGTAAGGAGCAAGATGAAGATAGAGTCGTTAAGATGAGGATAATGTGTGTATACATCTGCACCACTGACATCAGTTCTCAGTAATGTGATCACCTAGAGTCTCCAACCACTGGCTCCTCCTGTCCCGCGGACCCAAACCATCTAGTCTGCATCGCCATACATGGCTCAAACCAACAGTCAGAGACTTGATACATTGGTGCCATGTTTTATTCTGACCACCTCGGGCCTTTTCCCAGCCTGGACCTACTTCAGCCAACATTGTGTGACGAGGCAATCGGTGACTAGGCATACGTGTTACGTGTCCCAACCATCTCAGTCGATCAAGGTTCACAACTGTGTCAACCGACTTACCTCTTCTCCCTGAAACTCTACACCTGACTTCTATGTTACGTGGTGACACCACGGAATATGTCCTATACTACGACGTCAACGGTGGTCAAGCACTTGAAGCCTTCTCATGACTTCCACCTTCAATGACCATGTTTCACTGCCATACAGTAGAACAGAGCGAACTACTGTGCAGTACGCGTGACCTATAGTAGACAACCGGATATCACGGTGGGGCCACAGGTGGGGTAAGTTGGCGAAATCCAATCGAGCCTTTTGTATCCGATATACAAAATACACCCGTACATAAATATTAACGATAGTCTTGACTATTTCTAGGCCTATCTAGAATGTTAAGACTTATTGATTTTTGTCCCTTCGGCCAGTTGACGCATGATCTCTCGAAACTTTGAAGCAGCACGATTGGTTGTGAAAAGCTTCGAGGATTGAGGGCTGCTTATTGGAGAATTTGGCAGTCTTATTGCACACTATAACAGTAATGTGTACCGTAAGGATTGTTACTAAAATATGATCAACTAAGTCATATCATGACCTATAAGCTCTTTTGTGCAGTTGGTGTTGATGGTATTGTTTAGTTAGACAGTTAAACGTTCTGCATTAATTAGTATAGCTTAGAAAAAGAGGGTTGAACTCAACCATAATTTCTTAGTCGTTATGGAATGTGAATCTTCAGTCAATATCTAGACATTTCAGCATGGGAACCCATATGCCAAAAGATGCTAATCAACTCGCTGCAGTATAATGATCAGCTGGAAATTACAATAAAAGAATGAATAAGATATGACCTTTGGGGTCCAATAGCCTGATGTTTGAGATGATGGATACTAGGTTCAAGTTTCACTGGGAAAAACATTACTCACTGGTAAGCACAAACATCCGTCTGATGAGTCTTAAATGTAACGAAAATCACATCCGAGATTCCATCTAGTACTGGGTATAATTTGGTCTCTACTAATAGTTTTCATTTTACTATCACTTCAGAATATTCTCTCTAGATTGAGATGCAAGTGAAAACAATAACATTTCATCATCTCTGACTATTCATTTATCTTTCGGGATGCAAAGTAAATCTTGTCATCACCTAGGCGGCTTTCTAAAACAAACATATCCAAGGACTGTCGTTGTACTGGCATCAGTAGATTTCATTAGTCATGTCAAAGTGAACTAGACAGTCGTTTCACTGGTCTACTCGGATTGTTTTACCTCAGAGTAGATTTGAATAAATCACTTTACATTGGTCTAGTCAAGTGGTTTGAATGGATGGGTAAACTGAAAAGCAAACCAATTTGATCAGTGTGATTCATTTATAAGAGTGAATTGTGCTTATCACTAATACACTTCGAAAGTGGTTGCACCTCTTTCTACCAAGGTTGAATTTGATTGGTCAGACAGAACTGTACTCTGTTAGACTATATAGTCTCTAGGGCGTTACTAACGTCTTGAAAGGTAAAAAGTAGTAATTACGTCATCAGTTGACTAAGGCAGGAATTACAAACTTATCAACAAATAATACTAATTGATACTGGTTTTACAAGAGATGGGTATTGTGCCTCAAAGATCTAGTGGGTAAAGCTTTTGCAATTGAAGTGATGAGTATGGGGTTGCAATCTCAATGAGAATAACATCAACATGAACAAAGATTCAGTAATTGATCTCTCTCTCCACCTAGCTATATTAGACTTAAATACAGTGGTTTTGTCCCACCCTATTGTGTGGTTGTGTGTTAATGAATGTAATGCAATGGCCGAGTGTTTTTCTAGATTATTGATCTTATTGGGGTCTGCCGCTCTATGTTTAGCTAAATTCCTATGTTCTGTTAATCTAACTGACCCAGTGTCAGTTAAAGCGGGTTTAGTCAAATGTCTAAATAACGGAGCTGAGAAACTCACTAGTCATTGTAAGCACTTAAATAAGGAATTGGAACACATAAAAGAAGCGTTAATAATTAATAATTATCCCCATCATTTCATTAAGAAATTCACACGGACACATAAGAAGCAAAATAATAACACTAATACAAATACAAATAATAGTGACAACATAAGTAGAAAGGAAATCAACACCTCTATTGTGATACCATACAAGGAAGGAACATCAGAAACCATACGTAGGATTCTCAACAAGGTTGGAATTAGGGTGGTATTTAAACCAACAAACTCACTTAGAGGTAAGCTTTGTCGGCTAAAAGATCCGATAGAACCAATTAGGCAAAATAATATAATCTACCAAATTCCATGTAATGACTGTGAGGTCAAATACATAGGTCAAACTAGCCGGTCGAGGTCAGTTAGATTAGCAGAACATAGGAATTTAGCTAAACATAGAGTGGTAGACCCCAATAAGATCAATAATCTAGAAAAGCACTCGGCCATTGCATTACATTCATTAACACACAACCACACAATAGGGTGGGACAAAACCACTGTACTTAAGTCTAATATAGCTAGGTGGAGAGAGAGATCAATTACTGAATCTTTGTTCATCGAATTCACACGCAACACATGTAATAGGAATGACGCAACACCTATACCAGAGATATGGTAAACTTTACTACCAATCAAAAAGAAAACAAAGAGAGATCAGGTGACAGGACTATAAAATCAGATGTCGAAAGAAGTGTGATTACATTGATATGATTATGAGCAATGATAATTTATGCTGGAAACGTAATCAAGTAAATAATACTGTATCACTGTGCGCTTTATATCAAATAAACAAATCTAATATGGAACTACCCAATTCAATCTGAATATTGTTTAAAAATATTAGATCATACAGAGTTTTTCCTAGAAGTTTTTTTTAACTATCATATAGGTGAGAAATATTCACCGAGTAACTAACACCTAGAGTCAGTCTAAAAGTTTATGAAGCATTAGTCTCCACCGTGTAAGTAGGTATAGGCTCCTTGATATATTAAAAAATCGGTAATGTGATATATCCTGGATGTATGTTTCACGATGTTGCGAATGCCTACTCAGTAATTATCTATGGTGTATATATTTTCTCAGTGACATTCTTACATGATATTCACATACACGTGACAGTTGTATGCATCAGGACAATCCTATGAATTAGTCCTGTATGCACTACAATGACTAATATTGAATTCTTATAAGTATATATGTTTATGCTGGTTAATTACTGAACTGACTGGAATATATAGAAATTCCTAGAACTGACTTTCCAGTTCCTAAAGGATTACAATAACAGTTCTTATTCTTCTTGTATCAGTATTAATTTACGAGGTTTTGGCATTGCTACTAAGTGTGAATACTGGTTTATAATTCTAATTGACTTTAGGAGATATAGCTGAAAATCAATAAAAGTTGAGGAGATACATTCAGTCTTTATTACACTGAAGAATCATTATCATGTCACTGATGTATAACCTATGCACTTCTATGTAGTTTAATCATTCATTCAATAATGTACCTAACCCAATTAAGCAGGAGTTCAACGTCAACCTGAACAGCTGAACAGTAATATCTCTGGTTAGAGAACTATCTGATGCAGAATGGAATTTCTAAGCCATCTCTCCAAAGGTTTTATACACATTTCAATGAATGGTGCCAACGAACATGATATTTAAAAACAATACCTCAAAGTATACAGTTATAACACGTCTACCAGCTTGATAACCGAATAGAAATTTTTTTAAGAGTCTGATTAGTACTTCAGTATTAGACAAGTAGATAGTCACTGCTATAACTAGCCAAGGAAGTGACATGTCCATAGCAAAAACCAAAGCTTAAGAAACGTCATTCTAAAGAAGCCTATGTATGTGTATGTGTTTATCAATGATAACTAAAAACCATAAAGTATAAAAATGCACTGTGGAATATTTCAACGTAGAACATACGTGAACTCATGAACAGATACACCATTTCCATGAACTAAACATGAACCAGATATTGTATGGATTAATTGAGAGCAAACATCGAATGGATCCACTATAGGGATTCGTTGAAATGTTAAATTGGTTACTTGGTTCACAAATTTATTCTTTGTAATATCCTTACGTGGACGACATATCTTCGGGCATATTCCATCAACATCGTTTATCGGTTGTGGGCCTAATTTTGTGCATATCACCCAGTTATACATCCATAAGACATATTGATAATTCGGGATATAACTTGTACAATCTGCAATGAAGACCAAAAACAGAAGTCAAACTTTCAAATAACTGTCAGAGATCAATCAATAATTACAAAGTAATGAATAATGTTATTTGTTCTCGTTTACTCTATGGGATGTCCCCTTTCCTCTTTTGTGTTTTTAGTTTTATACTACTTAATATATTTGAGTAGTATATTTCGTGTTTCTTTATGGTGTTGCTTCACTCGCAGTCTTCACCGTTTATTATGTTCCACTGTATCTTGTCAACCATTCAACATCCGTAGATATCAGTATCGTTCTTTATTCCTTGATGTTCTATTTTACCTTGAACATTCGCTTATCTTGTGTCTTTACCTCATCGTGAGAAATAACGCACGTCTTCTATATCCCTTTCTCGTTGGTTGAACACAACTTAGCTGTTTTTACTTTCGGAGCACTCATTGCAACTGCTTTGAAAGTGATCAACCCGCAGATACCTCACGATTCGAGTTTTATATTTTATTACTCAATATTGTTTATTAATACAGAACCATATTCCAGACAAATCCTGTCTTGGATTTTATACGTAACTCGAACGTTTGGTTTGGTTTATAATTGAGAACTCGCGTGTTCCCTGTAGTCTCGAATTTCTCGTAAAAGAAACTCGCAGTAATAAAATAGCAGAATATTTAAGAGCGCCGAAACCAGATCTTCACTTTGTCCCAAATAAAGATGTCTTTATCAGTCTTTCTCACAAAAGTGACTCTCATAGTACAATCCTTAAACAGAGAGAGGCTTAACGCTGCTGTTAGAAGGACTTACTATGCAGATGGAGTTCGATCAATAGAAACCATCACGCTAGTATATTCTCTTAAACCCTCACAGCATGTGGGCGAAAATGTCACATCCACTGCATCTACCAATTCAAATGCACTTGTGGTGACACATACATAGAGAGGACTCGTAGATCCATGCTAGTAAGGGCATTGGAACATATTCCAGAAGCAAATTAAATCACCTGAACCCATAAGCGTTGGTAACAGACGTCCAAGTTCTTCTACCGCGAAGCGTATCATTGAGACAGGTCTCAAGATTGACGTAGCCTCTTCCTCTAGACCTTATTATTTCATCCCTTATCTTCATGAATTTCTAAATAAATACCTATGAGAAGTACATGTGTAGTCGAAATGTGTTGCGCAAAATACAATACACGGTTCAGATAATTTACGTCTTATTGTTTCGTTGAAGAATATTTCAAGTTATATAGATAACCAAACAGACTCTACTTCGATTTCGTACCTGTCGATGTTCATCAACCTCCTTGTCACCTTCAGCTATCTAATAGTGAATGGAGTACATCGAGATGTCAAGTTATTAGTTTAGCTGTTAGTAAGCACATTTGGAAGTTAGAATTCATGAAACAGTAAGGATCACTAAACGGATTAATCCTGAGGCTTACTTATCTACAGAATCTAAAAACCATCATTAATACTAGTAAAACACAGGCGTTAGTAATAGTGATAATAATGTCCATAATCATAAGGGCAATACTATGAAGAGAGAATTCAAAACCTTTACAGTATTACCATGCAAAGAAGGCACCTCAGAAACACTATGTAGGATTTTCAACGAGGCTGACTGTGATTACAGTGACATTTAAACCTACAAACTCACTTAGAAATCAGCTTTGTGGGTTAAAAGATCCTTCTGATTCAACTAAGTAGAATGATTTAGTTTACAAAATCCCTTGCAACGACTGTGAGGCCAAATATATAGGTCAAATTAGTCAACCAGCTGGGGTCAGTTAGGCTAACAGAGCACAGGGGCCTAGCTAGATCCTAGTAAGGTAAAGAATTTAGAGAAAAGCTCAGCCATAGCTATACATAGAATTACACACAACCACACACTAGGATGGGATAGGATGAAATCCTTTAAAGTAAACTAGTAGGGTGCAGGGAGAAACTGATAAGTGAATCTTTGTTTTTAGGCTACAACTCATCATGGAATGATATTAGATGGAGGGACATCGGAAACCTGGGAGCAGTGGACAGCTATTTTGCCCTAGGATCGGACTCCTCAACGACAATACTGCATGCAGGTCACGCCTTATATCGTGGATTGACTGAAGTAGGAAATATAGACCAATAGATACCGATCCAGTGGCTTAATGGTAAAGTGCTGGGTTCGAGCTCTGGAGGATGGGGTCGAGGATGTTCATACCCGGGAGTCCCAGACTAGGATAGAACAACTGTCCAGTGCTCCCAGATTTCCAGTGTTTCTCCAACCAATGTCAGTCCACGATGAATACCAGTCAGAAATCAATTAATAAGTCTCAACAAACCTCCAAATAGAATGAATCTTTGTTTATCGAGTCAACACCTTTATGCAACAAGCAACAGGAATGATTCAGCATCTGTTCCGCATACACGGAAAATCTTACCAAGCATATTATAAAGGAGATGAGAAAATTAGGATGTCTCACAGTTGTGTAATTATCTTGATATGACTTTGGGGGCAATAAATTATGTTCAAAGCGTAATCCAGTAAACAGTACTGTTCCACTGTGTGATAAATCTAAAAAATCAATGAAAATGGAACGATATTCTACCACAGTACACAAGTTTTACTCTCATATTAATAGGAAATGAAGATTTATGAGCTCCCCTCACCTGTAATACACCTTACTCTTCACTGTATAATTGGGACAGTAAAAACTAAAGTGAACTTTCGAACGAATTGAATGAAGTAACGATGGCATCATTGTTGAACACCCATCCTTGAGCAGTTCGCTATAACTGACAAATGTTCTTTAGATAGATCTAAGTGGATCGAGGCATATTTGGCAGAAAATTAGATAGGGATATTAAAAATAGACAATGAATGTGGAGACAACACACTTATAATGAATTTCTAGGAATTGACCTAGTGTGAACTCGAAAGACGCAGTGACCAATCACTAATTATTCTTGCTTGTTATATACCCACGAATACGAGACCAAGGAAGAACACAATAGGGTATTTGGATGGGATAGTATATTTGTGATATCATATCAAGATACCGATGCGTTCCAACTAACTGGCTAGAGAGTAGATTACCAGCAGTGCAACGTAACAGGATAGCGTGCTAAATGGCCTGGATGCTTGACCATGTGTCTTCAGTTTAGCGAGTCCAGTAAAGCCGTGAAGGTCAGCATCAATGTTGAATCTCGTTGTACCCTTGGGCTATTGATTCGAGAGAAGTGTGTGACGCCAAGAATTGAACAATTTTTATAGCTTGAGTGGTAATGCAAAGGGTAGTAGTGGATGTTCGAATTGACATGCTACGTAATTAATTGCGACTTTGGATAGTAGTGCAGTCTAAAGAACAATGTGTATTTCAGATAAGAAAATAATGATGATGATAATAATAGTAATAATACACGCATTGTCATCTAAACTCTACCCATAGCACAAGAAGTGACTATTGTACTTCAGTGGCCTAATAGATAAGGATCCGGAGTTTTAAGTTATCGGTCCCAGGTTCGAGTCCTGGCGGGAACAACGTCACTCATTAGGAAGCAGGTTAACACAGCTGATGGGTCCCAATACAACGAAACACCGGTCATGGATTCTACAGTTAACCACTACCTATTAATAATACTCATAATAATAATGATAATGTTGACAGAGGGGTGAGAAGTGAATCGGTTGGTGGTAGATTACATCATTCAGAAAAGGATAGTTAGTAGTCACTTAAGACGATACCATAAAAACCCAGACGTGTGTTCAGATGACTAATAATGACGACAATGGTAACAAGAATAGGGCAAATTCAGGAAGGGAAAATCGAAATATAAGATCTGGATGATAACTGAAGGCAAAGAGCAAGTAAGGAAGAGTGAATATGATTAGACGACGTTGAAATTCCTACTATAGTAGATTCAAGCTGTCTATCATTTCATTCTGAATACAGAGGTTTGGTTTTGGCAATCCCAATCGATCAAGCTTGTGCAAGTGGGAGTAACTTGTTATTCTGCTGTCTACTGATAATCGTTAGAGTTAGAAGCCTCAATATCATATCCATAGTCCAATCAGTGTTTCGTTGTCGAACTCCTCGAGGTCTGCCTTTGTGCACGCTTCCGCTATTTGGGTAGGTGTTCAACTAGATTCATGGAGGATTGAAGGCTTATCTTTCCGTGATTGTTGCAATGCGCATTTGGTGGTGCTGAAGAGCACTAGGTTAAGAATATAATAAGTCCTTCTGATAGAATTCTCGAGTCTTCATCTAACTGCTTTTTCATCCGGTCACCACCTTTATGTGGTAAGGTGATATAGACTGGCATTTTCTGTACTGTTGGGGACATTGTTCCATTTCCTTCCAAGTTTGCATGAAAAGTTCATAAAGTTTTCTGGCACATTTCTCAAAGTCATCATTTCTTAGTCTACTGTGCTGTCGGAGCAAACGTTTCTACCTCTATTCAATACCGTTCTGACTACATTCATTTTGTATTCGATTGGGATAAAGCTCTTAGCCCGCGTTATATATATGTGTGTGTACGCATGTTCTTCAGCATTGCCTAATGGTATAGATAATCAAATATATAGAGTACTACTGAAATACTACTACTACTACTGAATAAACCTACTATTTTCACATTCGCTGATTGTTTTATATTTGTCTTGAGAAACAAATCTTGAAAATTACTGATATATTATCGATACTGAGATGTGTGTAATCGAGCAAAATAAACTTAAGTTTACACTTCAATTTCAGACAGATTCCTCAATTTTATGGAACTGCTCAACCAAGTATTTGGACGAACTTTTACAGGATTTTCTATTACCTTTAGAGTGATTGTTTTCAGTCATTTTCAACTCCTTCAATTATCTGTAGATTAAATTAGATAATATACATCGAAAAGACAGTCGACTAGACTGACTGACTGACTGACTGACTGACTGACTGACTGACTGACTGACTGACTGACTGACTGACTGACTGACTGACTGACTGACTGACTGACTGACTGACTGACTGACTGGAAGCATGAGAACCAATAAGACTGTC